AACTGGTCAACCACCTGTAAAAGAATGAAACTAGAACACTTTCTAACACCATACACAAAAATAAACTCAAAATGGATTAAAGATCTAAATGTAAGACCAGAAACTATAAAACTCCTAGAGGAGAACATAGGCAAAACACTCTCCGACATAAATCACAGTAGGATCCTCTATGACCCACATCCCAGAATTTTAGAAACAAAAGCAAAAATAAACAAATGGGACCTAATGAAACTTAAAAGCTTTTGCACAACAAAGGAAACTATAAGCAAGGTGAAAAGACAGCCCTCAGATTGGGAGAAAATAATAGCAAACGAAGCAACAAAGGATTAATCTCAAAAATATACAAGCAACTCCTCCAGCTCAACTCCAGAAAAATAAATGACCCAATCAAGAAATGGGCCAAAGAACTGAACAGACATTTCTCCAAGGAAGACATACAGATGGCTAACAAACACATGAAAAGATGCTCAACATCACTCATTATCAGAGAAATGCAAATCAAAACCACAATGAGGTACCATTACACACCAGTCAGGATGGCTGCTATCCAAAAGTCTACAAGCAATAAATGCTGGAGAGGGTGTGGAGAAAAGGGAACCCTCTTACACTGTTGGTGGGAATGCAAATTAGTACAGCCACTATGGAAAACAGTGTGGAGATTTCTTAAAAAGCTGGAAATAGAACTGCCATATGACCCAGCAATCCCACTTCTGGGCATACACACCGAGGAAACCAGATCTGAAAGAGACACGTGTACCCCAATGTTCATCGCAGCACTGTTTATAATAGCCAGGACATGGAAGCAACCTAGATGCCCATCAGCAGACGAATGGATGAGGAAGCTGTGGTACATATACACCATGGAATATTACTCAGCCATTAAAAAGAATTCATTTGAATCAGTTCTAATGAGATGGATGAAACTGGAGCCCATTATACAGAGCGAAGTAAGCCAGAAAGATAAAGACCATTACAGTATACTAACACATATATATGGCATTTAGAAAGATGGTAATGATAACCCTATATGCAAAACAGAAAAAGAGACACAGATGTATAGAACAGACTTGTGGACTCTGGGAGAAGGCGAGGGTGGGATGTTTCAAGAGAACAGCATCGAAACACGTATATTATCTAGGGTGAAACAGATCACCAGCCCAGGTTGGGTGCATGAGACAAGTGCTCGGGCCTGGTGCTCTGGGAAGACCCAGAGGGATCGGGTGGAGAGGGAGGTGGGAGGGGGGACCGGGATGGGGAATACATGTAAATCCATGGCTAATTCATTTCAATGTATGACAAAAACCACTGCAATGATGTAAAGTAATTAGCCTCCAACTAATAAAAATAAATGAAAAAAAAATACTTTGTAAACAATAATATGATTGGTAAAGTAGTTATCATAATTGTTATTTAGTACAAAGTGTTGCCTATGATGGATCCAGAGCATAATTATTGAGTCTGATTCATTCTGTTATCAAAAGTGTTCTTGTAGTGAAAAGCCAGATACTTTTATAAAGAGGACATTCGTTCTATGATTTTTATACTACTAATAATTTTTACTAAAATGAATACTTCTCTATAATTTATAAATACCATTTGAAGTAAGTATACTAAGTTGGATGTAATTTTAAAATCAGCTCTTTTGAAGGCCAAATGTAACAGACAGAAATACAGAACACAGAATTCTTTTTTTTTTTGCATATGATAAGTTTAGAAAGTCAAAGAAATAATTGGTAATGAATAATTTTAAACATATGGCTTACTGTTCATCTTAATATTCTTAAAAAGTTTTGAATTTTGAGGCATAAAGTTTAAATAATTTTAACAAATCTCTTAGATCTATAGATCTAGTAAAGTTGGTTTTTAAATTACAATTTTTTTATCAGGTCCATAGAAAGCAAAGGTTATGGATTTCCTCCTAATTATTTTTGGAACTTATTGTATGTAAATTGACAGATATACATAGGTACCTCACTTATCTTACTATTTGTCTATAGAATTAGGGCTCAGATCACCTTAAAATATTAAATTTTGAGGGGATAGAAGTAATTTTAATGATCAAACTTTAGCAATTCTATTTTAAGAATCAATCTATTTTTTCCTGAAGTTATATTTTGATCATTAGTCAAACATGTAAAAAAATAAAATGATTTGTCATGATTATTTTCATACGTAATTCAGAATATTTTAAGTAAGAATAAAGGGGAAATTACGTAATACAAAACTAGAATGTGGTTAAAAAATGTAAGCATACTTTTTTGACTAAATTTTCATAAGAATGTATCTATATGGTTAAAAAAGATCAAGAAGAAAAATGAAAAGAATATTCAATGATTTCACACTATTTACTTAACTCTTACATTTTTATTTTTGGGTATCTTTCCTCAGCTTTTTTAGAGCATTTGGTGATATGTTAGAAAACATTAACTTTTGACTATTGTGAATTGTATTTCTATTCTTAAAACAATACCCAAGGGGTATTTTGTTACAACATATTACATTCAATTAAGCAGATTTCTATGTAATTGTCTTGTGTATTTTGTCAATTGTTGAATAAATACCTTAGTATTTTCTCTGAAAATAATTAAACAAAGTATTACACTTTTTATATTAGAACATCCTTCCTTTCACTAATTGGATTTATTGGATTGATCTTGACTTACCATATTTCCTGCATTTTCAGATATTAACATAACATAGGAAATGCTGGTCATTATTAAATAATTTCAGTGAAAGTGTTTCAGTTTACTTTTAAGATAGCATAATTGCTTTCTTTATAAAAATCTTGATAAAGCTTTACTTTAAAAATTTCAAGTGCTTACTAGTTATTTTAGTTATTCCTAGTGGTCATTTATAGATAATATAATATTTTATTAAAATAATTTTCCTCTATATCCTTATTCTATTTTTGTTTACATTAAAACACATTTTAAATGAATTGATTACCTGTCTTTTTAAGAGCACTTACAACTATAAACAGACCATGTTCGGTTCAGTGTTAATTTGGAGAACTTGAATGTCTATTATGAAATGAAAATTTTATGTAGCTAAACAAATATTATATATGTGGATTGAAAATATCAGTACAGTGTCATCAAATATACTTCATAAGATAGATGTACAAATGCATTTCAGTTCTTTTCTCATCAGTCTCCCTTGTATGTTTAGACAGTCTTTATGTGAATACAATGACCTCAATATCAAACATTTTAAACGATGCTTGAAGTATCAGTCACTTGACTTTGATTTCACACACAATTAAATCCAACCCATCTTCTCTCAGTTAATAACAGCACTCTCACCAAGTCTAGTGCCTAATTAATACCAGCTATTTGTCACCAAGAGGTGACACATGTATATCAGAAAGCTTGAAATACTGTTTTGTGCTGAAGTGTAGCCAGCCGGCCCGGCATATAGAATCTGTCTTATGTGTGATTGGCTTTAAAGATTTCAAAGGCCCTGAGTTTAGTGTGTTCAAGCTGGGACGCGACAGTGCAGAGGAGGTGATACTGATGTGACAGGTCCCTTTAGGTTGCTAAGGAGGATGGTATTTAGAAAAAAAGCAGTTCTCTCTGAAAGGTTCAGACTTGATCACTCACTTAGGTGGTGGCCAGAAGTAAGACTAAAGTCCCCATGCTCATTTGGCTCACCTGTAGTTTGTAACCTACCTGTCAGATTACCCAGTCATAAATTGTATTATTGAGATATAGAGATATATTTATTTTCGCAAAAACATTTCTGCTGTTCCCATCAAGAAGTCTCTTTACCTCTACTGGTCTATCTATTAAAGAAGTAATACTTTTCCTTCTTAAATTTGTTTATAGACTGCAATTAGAGGTTGGACTTACATTTAAATAGTAGTTACTAGTCACCAAATTAGCTGAAAATATTTGAGGTAAATACAGGTAGAATATAAACTCTACAGTCCTATGAAAAAATAGGTGGAAAAGCAGGGATCATTTGTTGAATGGGTACTTCTACACTTATTTCTACATATCATTGTTTAAAATTCAGATCAAAATGGGCATCATGTTATTAAAGATTTCCTTTAAAATGTGTCTAATCATAACCAAAGAGCTACTATTTGCAGCTTCGATGTTTCTGCTAATATGAAAATCTCTCCATTGTGATATGGAGGAAAATGAAGTTGGCTGAAACACTGTATTAAAAAACCCTCTCTCTCTTCTTAGAAAAAGGAGGAAAGAAAAGCCTAGAGAAAGCTGCCTTATTCAGATTACTTGTAGAGCTCTACTACTTCCGTCACTTCTTCAGTTTTTCCAGCTTACTGTCCTAAATGGCATTCCCCCCCCCCCCCCCCCAGAAGGATGTTTTAACTTCAGGTTTACTAGTCAAGTAGTAATTTTTACTCCTGCTCACTTGTTATTGAAATCAGTGGGGAGAAAAGACTGATTTTAGTTGAGGGAGAAGAGTTCCAACAGCAGAAAATGGAGTGCTTTAAAAGCGCGGGGAGATTCTGCCTCCCCGAGGGGCTGGAAGCCCTGCGCAGCCGCTGGTCTGAGCCGGCGTCTCAGTCCACGGCGCTGGGAGCCCGGGAAGCGGCCGGAGCGCAGCTTCATTCTTCTCCGTCCGGCTCGGTTTTCCAAGGGAGCCAAGTCCAGGGTTTCTTTGTTTGTTTGTTTGTTTGTTTTTTCCAGGTGGAGGTTTAAAGTGGTGTTTCTTCAGATATGAAAACAACTGTAACGAAGAAGAAAATAAAAATGAAACCCCGAGGTTTCTTAGATATATTATGCTAAATAAATGATAGGACCACTGTGATTTTTCACTCGTTTCATATGTAGACATAGCACTCCTCTCCACAGTTTGGAGCATCGCTTTTTTCATCTGCCTCTAAGTTACTTGTTTCACTGGAGTCTCTAGTTAGACGGGTTTTGAGCCTGGGAAAACTAGCCATGGGCTGGTCTGCGTTTGGTGTCCGAGGGCAAGGTTTCTGTGCTGACCGGACAGGCCTTCGGCCCTCGTAGAAGCCGTCGAGCCGTCCCATGAAGGACGGGGCACATTCTCTAACTGATGACGTGGCTGTGCACACGCATGTCAGCTTCTGCCACCTCCAGCTTCTCCATCAGCCTTTCAAACGCTGCTTCAGCCGGCCTGTTTCCAGGTGCAGAAAGCAGCCCCAGCGCCGCATCTTTTCAAGACGGCCACCTGCAGGAAGGCTCTGCTCCCCGGCTTGCACCGGGATGAGGGTTAGGGCGCCCCCCTGACCCCCCTTGCAGCCCAGGCCGCTCGGGCCAGCGGGCAGGTGGGGGCGGCGGCCGGGGGCAGAGAAGTAACGCGGATGATTTTTCTCCCGAGGGAATCATCTTTGGTTTGTAGCTCCAATTTTGGTTCCCTCCCTTTCGCTTTGCTTCCTCTTACACAAACACTGTAATTCCATTTGGGATGAAGTCAAACTATTAAAGAAAACACAGATTAAGCTTCTACTCTAGCTCAGACTGCAGTAAGTGTTTACCAGGTTGAAGGCAGAGAATCTACTAACCCTCTTGTCTGACAATGGCTCCTGCTTCCTGTGAGGCATCTCACTGCATCTTCTATTCCGATGGTGGTAAAAGGTGGTGGTCTGCTCCTGTAAAGAAGACACTTTAAATAATTGACATTCCAAGATTTGTGGGAGCTTTTGTTTTCAGAAGGAATTAATGGGTTGAAAGAGGTGAAGATATAATTTGATTTTCCAAGAGTTAGAAACTGGAATGAGGTTCACTGAAATCCACACTTGTTTCTTGATGAGTACTTCAAAACATGACCATTTTATCAGAATGAAGGTGGATATTATTTTCTCACAGAATTTCCATCCTTATCTAGCCTGCAAGCAAGTATTCAGAATATACTTCCGAGTGGTTCTAAAATCACCGTTAGTTTTGCATCCTGTTTATTTGTCTGTGATTGGACCCCCAGATTTGTACATGTGGGCCAGCAGGATAATCAGGACACACAGTTTGGGGTCCTGAACTTTCTGAGCCAAGATCTGTCAAATAGATGCACAATAACTCATTTGATTTAAACATGGATTGTTTCTGGACTTCATATTTTGTCAGCTCCTTTAAACTGCAGTCGTTTATAAAATACTTCCAGAAAGTGCTGGAATGTGTGATGTTTAATTAGTTTTTTGAACATACATGGGGATTTATGAGTATAAATAATTTTTATTCTTGGGAGTGCTGAATATGATGTAGAACTTGCTGACTGATTTCTTGTAGGTTTTGGCTGATTCACTCTGGACAACTACAGTTTCATGTGATGATAGTAAACAGTTACCCAGTTCAGTTACTTAACCACAAGTGGAAATTTTTTAATGATGTGTATTAAGCTTTTATTTGCAGTTATACTGCATCACAAACTTTGATGGAAATGCAAAGTCAGATTAATTATAATTTTTGGCTGAGCACCAGGATTTTATCCAGGCTTTAATTAAAATTTCACAGTGTGACACCTTCGTCCCACATCATATTTCCAAAAAGGATGCCACAGTAAATGAAGTTTTATTATATCTATTTATTAGGAATGGAATTTCTACTTTGTCTTTTCATACACATCTGGTAGTTTGCTTCAGTTCAGTTCATGTCACTTAGTCGTGTCCAGCTCTTTGCTACTCCATTGACTGTAGCACGCCAGGCCTCCCTGTCCGTCACCAACTCTCAGAGCTTACTCAAACTCATGTCCATCGAATTAGTGATGCCATCCAACCATCTCATCCTCTGTCGTCCCCTTCTCCTCCTGCCCTCAATCCTTCCCAGCATCAGGGTCTTTTCAAATGAGTTAGTTATTCACATCAGTAGCCAAAGTATTAGAGTTTCAGCTTCAGCATCAGTCCTTCCAATGAATATTCAGGACTGATTTCCTTTAGGATGGACTGGTTGGATCTCCTTGCAGTCCAAGGGACTCTCAAGAGTCTTCTCCAACACCACAGTTCAAAAGCACCAATTCTTTAGTGCTCAGTTTTCTTTATAGTCCAACTCTCACACCCATACACGACTACTGGAAAAACCAAAGCTTTGACTAGACTGACTTTTGTTGGCAAAGTAATGTCTCTGCTTTTCAATATGCTGTCTGGGTTGGTCATAACTTTCCTTCCAAGGAGTAAGTGTCTTTTAATTTCATGGCTTTAATCACCATCTGCAGTGATTTTGAAGCCCCCCAAAATAAAGTCAGCCACTGTTTCCCCATCTATTTGCCATGAAGTAATGGGACCGGATGCTATGATCTTAGTTTTCTGAATGTTGAGTTTTAAGACAACTGCCTTAAGATAAATAAAAGAAAGCTGTTACATGTTTTGAAAATACACAGTTGATTCTATCAGGCTGAGTAGATTCTGAAAGTAAATCATTCTTCAAAATTTTAACTCTTCTTGATATCTTCAATTTACTGATATATACATATATATAGTATATAAAGATATATGGTTTACATATAATTAAAAAATCTAGAACCCTTGATATACCAATGGAACCTAAAATTTGTGATGGGATAAGCTACCATCCTTCTTTTGTGGAATAGGTTGGCTAAAGTGTAGACCAAGTCAGAAAAATACCAAAACATCAAACACAAGTGGTCAAGAGTAAAGATTTGGCTGCAGAAATAGAGAGATTAAGACCTGGGACACTGTCGGCAGAGCAAACCGGAAGCCAGATCAGAAACAGAGCAGAACATTAGGATCAGATTGCCAGGTCAAAGTCAGGCTTACCGTAGAGCAAAGCCAGGTTGGCAGATGAAGGTCAGGGGCCCTGCAGGTCAGTCAGGAAGGCAGCGGGGAGCACCATGATTCAAGCACATGGACAGGACAAGGTGGGCCCAGAGGGGGAGCGCCAGCTGCGAGGTGATGCCTGGGGTTCTCTAACATCTGGTTCCTCCACTGACTCCCACTTCTCTTGACCCTGGCTCAGAGGTTAACCTCTGTGCGCCCAGTGTGCGTGTTTCCTGCGGAGTTCTAACATTTAATTTTAATACAAACTTGAGTGGCATCAAAGGCAACCTCAGGCTCTGTGTTTCACTGGCCTCTTGCTCGTATGTTTTACTGATAAGGCATTAAGGACCATCTCCATCTGTAGTGTGTTCTGGGAAAATTATTTCTAGAAACAAAATGTAAACATCTAAATAACTGACAGTTCTCTTAAAATGCCTAATGTGTGAGAAATAAATATATTCATATTTATGAATATTCATATTTAAATGGAAGAATGCTAATGCCTTTGAAAGGACATTGTAAATAATTGCTAATAATATAATAACTGCTAATTCTAGTCAAAACAAATAATGCCTTTACTTGGGGTATGCTCCAGAGGTGGTGCCAATAAGTTTTAAAAAGGAAATGAAGACCAAGTTTTCTCTGATTTGTATTGTGACCTATGAATTTAATTTACCCATAATCCAATTTCTTTGACCAAGAGTTACTTGCCTTTCTCCTATGGAGACTGAAATATGCATTGATATTGTTCCTATGCTGCTTTAGATATTCATGATATATTATTTCATTACATTTTTATATTTACCCTATATAAATGCATACATTTAATTTACATACCCTTTATATTTGAGCTCAGTCAGTTGCCTTTCACTATATCATGGACTCAAATAGAAGGTAGAAAATATATCTATAGAAAAACTTCCTTTGAGAAATTTGTAAAATATTTTTGTGGTATAATTATTTCAGCTTTTAGTAGAGTTATCTTCAACAACTATTCTTATAGTCAAATGTTCCAGCAGCCAACTCAATAAGCAACCCAAATTACTTTCTAAGAAGTTAATGGGGGAGTCTTTTGGGTTTGCAAACATAGTCATGTGATGAGCTAAAGCAATAAAAGTGATAATTCCACTTTACAGACTGAGAACCCATAAAACACGGAAATAGTCTGTGCTGTGTCTACTACATCTGTCTTGATTTCTCTAATAAAAAAGGCTTTTGTTTGAAATAAAAGTGAAGGGTTGCTTTGTTAAATATTAAATTCTAGGAGATTAAAAATATAATTTCCTTTCTTTCTCTTGGTATTTCCTTTACCCTATTGCATGTCATTCTTAGAAATCACCATTATATTGTTTATTTTTTTAAATTAAAATGCTATAACAACTGCAGTGCTTTTGCATTGTATGAATATTTTATTGTATGATGAAAAAGAATGATTGTGAAAGCCTTAAAATGCTCAATTTTTCATTTAAATATTTTACAAGGAAAACCCTACTGAGATACATCTTCTTTTCATGGGTGCCCTGGTGGTTCTCACAGAAGGGAGATGCAATATATATAGTTCTACAACCCACTGCATTTAAATTTTATAAAACAGTGGAACAAGATGGCTTTCTGTTTTAAGTGAAATACGAACGTCTTATCTGGGTGTCACATCTAAAACCCAAGGTTCTGCTGCTTCCATGCAGGCAGAAAATCACTTATTTGTTTTCTTTTCAAGATGCCCAAAGCTCTGTTTTGCAGCCATTAAATTGGGCAGAACGATAATGGACAGTGCCTTTTGTTTATGCATATGAGAGGGCTTTGATTTATAATATCTTTTATTTCCAAGTATTCCTTTACAAAAAAATACATTTACATCTCAGATGAGGCATCTATGTTCACATCACTTTTATAATCATTAAGTTTGCAGTATCATTTTCCTATAAATTTCAAATACATGAAAAACCTGATATGGAAAATGGTATAATTAAATTCAATTTGTAATTATCCCCCTCCCTCAAATTATAGATATTTGTGGGATTTTTCATATATTTTTAGCTCAACAACAGTGTTTATAGCTATGATATTATACCAGCAATTTATATGTATAAAATAAACATGGGTTTGAAATGCTTTGGTTTAGTACTAATTTTTGATCAATAAAAATTTGTTAAAAACATTTTCCCATGGAAAAATTAATTTAACTTAAAAGTGAAAGAATATGTTATTTGGGACTCTGGGGGATAAAATAGCCAGAATTTTACAGGATTAAAAAAAAAAAAAAAGCTGAAAAAAAAAAAAAGCTGATACAAGGTGAAAATGTTTAATAAAGAAAATCTTAACCTGTTATTTTGGATAGAATTTAAAAGTACTCAGTGCCTTTTAATTTTGTTACTTATTTTAAAAAATCCTTATCATCATGAAATACTAGTAAAATTATTTAATATGTTTGATTTTTAGTAGTGTAGTAACAGAAACAAATGACAAAAATTATTAGTTCTTGCAATCAAGGCTTTCATGTTGGATAAAATGTTTAGCTTCTAG